GATTGTTGCTAGATAGGAGGGACTTGGGGGTCTGGGTGAGAAAGGTGAAGGGATTAAGAAGTACAAATTGGTAGTTACAAAATAGTCATGGGGATATACAGTACATCATAGGGAATATAGTCAATAGTATTGTAATAACTATGTATAGTGCCAGGTGGGTACTTGAATTATCTGGGGGCAGGGATTGCTTCATAAATTATATGTCTAACCACTATGCTGTCTACCTGAAACTAATATAAAAGAATATTGAATGTCAACTGTAATTGAGAAGCATGATTTTAAAACATCTTTTATTTTTTTGGTGGATAGAAAACAAAAGAATGTGTATTCTGCAGTTGTTAGATGATTTGGTCACGTTGGTTGGTAGTTCAAGTCTCCTTGTATTTCTGACTTTTTTGGTCTATTTCCCCTGTTAATTACTGAGAGAAGAATGTTGAAACTACCAATTATAGTGGTGGATTTGTCTATTTCGTCTTCTAATTCTGTCAGTTTTTGCTTCATGTATTTTGAAATTCTTTTTAGGAGCACACATTTTAAAAAGATTAGGTGCATACATTTTTATCATTGTTGTGTCTCCTTCAGGAGTTAACCCTGTTATTATGAAATGCTCTTTTTATCCCTGGTATGATTCTTTGTTCTGAAGTCTACTTTGCCTGCTATTTTTTTTTTTGCCTGCTATTTTTTAAAATATATATTTTTTATTGATTTTTCAGAGAGAGGAAGGGAGAGGGAGAGAGAGATAGAAACATCAATGATGAGCGTCATTGATCGGCTGCCTCCTGCACGCCCCTCCTGGGGATCCAGCCCGCAACCCTGGGCATGTGCCCTGACTGGGAATCGAACTGTGACCTCCTGGTTCATAGGTTGATTCTCAACCACTGAGCCATGCTGGCCGGGCTACTTTGCCTGCTATTAATGATACATCTTTTTCCAGTGTTTTACTTTTAATATATCTGTCTTTTTATATTTGAAGTGCATTTCTTGTAGACAGCAAATCATTGGGTCTCTCTTATTCATTATGACAATTTCTGCACTGAAAGGTTGCCTGTTCAGTTCCTGGTCAGGGCACTTGCCGGGGGTTGCAGACTCAATCCCCAGTAGAGGGGGCATGTAGGAGGCAGCTATCGATGTTTCTCTCTCTCTCTCTCTCTCTAAAAAAAAAAAAAAAAAA